ATTTGTATTTTGTTAAGGTTCGAATTCTCAGCTGAGCCCCAGATTTGGACTCCATGTGTCCATAGCGGTTCAAGTATGAGTTTATAAATGGTTGGTTTTGTGTGAAGGGGCAACTTCGATTTAGAATGAAGAAATCTTCTCAGAATGTTAAGACTTAAGTTTAGTTTAATTTTAGTGGAGTGTATATGGCCAATTACAATTTAAATAACCACCATTTTTAGATTTTTGTTGTATTAGGTATTGCTATGTATGCTATTTATTGCTATTTATGAATTAAAAACTAAAATTTAAAAAGTATCTATTCATAACTGGTTGTCGACCAGTCATTATTTTCATCGTTAACATCATCGTGACTTAAATAGATAATTAAAATAATTATGTAGCTATTTGACTTTTAACATTTCTTACTCTTCAAAACTACCCTTAAAGATGATATTTTTTTTCTAAATATGAAATATAATTTTTCATCCTTAAATATTATAAGGATTTTATTTGAAACTTTTTTAGCTTACATAATTGTCTCGTTATAAAAAATTAACATAACATGAAATTTGTATAACACTGTTTAAAAATAAAGGTTATTTGATGGCCAAAACAATCATTTGAAAAAGCCTTTAATACCCATGTCTGTCATCACATCGACAAATTCCCTCATAAATTATTAATTTACTGCTTGATATTTTAACTTAAGTAGTCATATTTCTATGGTTCTGCTATCATTGTCCTTTATAAAGCTCTGAAAACATACACACTAACATAAGTTTTACTATTTATTTTTCTTCCATTCAATAATATTATTATACTATATTTTCTATCACGCTGTATTTTTATTTATTTATATATACTTATACATCAATTATGGAATGTAATAGTGACACAGACACAAATCACAACAGTTATTATGTATGTTGTTATGGAGACATTCAATAAAAAGCATGAGCCTTTATATAATCATACAAACAACTTGCATTATTTGTTTTACCGACTTATGATCACGGAAAGGGCAGACACCTACGTTAGGTTTTTTTTACACTCAACATGTCTCATCGGAACACTCATTATTAGGTGATACTTCAGAATGGATGACCGATTCAGCATCCTTAAATTAAAATTTAATGAACCGCGTATTATAGTAAGACAACAAAAACTCTGCAAGGACTTATATATTTATATTAAACACAATGTAACGTGAAACGAATAATGCATTAAAATAATAAACAAAATGATAAAAAGCTTGTAACTAAATAATAATAAGTCGAGTATTTTCATTAAAAAAATATTGTATTTACATTAAGCCTATTTATTACAATTTTTTTACCCGATCATAAATTATTTTAAACTATTATCATAAAAAGTAATGTTATAATTTATAAAGTCGGAATTTTCCTTAAGCAACTCATTAAAGACCAAGAAGTAATTTTTCTATTGTTATATAAGACTTTTTATAATAATTGTTGACGTTACAATCCTTAACTGAGCAAATCCTTGGACAACCGTAAAAAAATTGTATCATGTATAATTGTTGCGATTTATAAAATGAAGTAATGATTTTGATGAGTAAAGAAATATATATATAACAAGTCATACTATATATATATTATATAGTATGACTTGTTTGAGTATGTAATGGAAAATAAGAAATCTATACAATGTAATCAGATTGCCTAAAAGTTATTCATGTGGTCGGTACAAAAATGGAAATGATTACAAAATGATAAAAACTAGTTTAGCAGTTTTCAATACAGCTTTTTATACGTATATAAAAGCAGCTCCACTTGTGTAAAACGAGATTTATAAAGTTGTTTAGAAAATCAACAACAGACAGTTCAGAAACAATTCATAGATACAGAGTATGTTGAAAATCGCGTAGGCAGTTATATATCTCATTCAGTAAATTAAATCAGTATTTAGTTTACTTTTACTTTGTGTTTAACACTTGGTTCATTAATATCAAACTTAATAAATAATTACTCCTAATTAATTTGTTATACGTTACAACCCGTCCAGTTAATTCAGATTAACTGGACGGGCCTTTCAAACTTTACGCGTGACAATATAAAAACACAATGAACGGTATTGAATTAGTTATTTTTTTCAGTAGGTACGTCAGATATTTCCAATATTGATATCAGTTCATCGATTTTGAATTTAATCATTCAACAGTTTAAGGTTAAATATCAACAAAAAAAAACAGTATCGGATATTGAGCAGAATTCAAAGAGCCGTCTTTCAACAATAAACGCCAAACGACATCCTGCTAATAATACATAAGTTTATGTTGGGCATTTTTACAGATCCTTAACATTTTAAAGACAAATCGGTCGCTTGAGGGTCAAGAAGAACTTTCGGCATGTTATGATGTTTTAAATTTGTACAATTATAATATGATAAAACAAGATATAAAATACATTTATACGATTATATACAAGATATTGTCTAGTAAAAAAATGGTTGAGCAATTTATAAGTGTTAAATTGAATAATATTCGATTTAAACACAATTTTGCCGTAATTCAATAAAAAAACTAATTGTGTTTTGTAAGCTACAATTTATAAAATTTTTAGTGTCTACAAAAACTTTTGTTTAAAGCCAGTCGCAAGCAATAAGAATCCATTATTCTTTTATATAGATACCCTGAAAAATTTAGTTATAGCCAATGTTCTGCTATTTTCCAAAGTTTGTTAAAAATATATTTTAATTATTATCTGCAACTCAATATGATTATTGTTTTAATAAACATTTGTCAATACTAAACCGAAATGTTTAGCTCACATCATGTTGCGCAAAGTTACTTTTTACAAATAGAAGTTTTAGTATTAAGATGACATCAAATATATACTTGATTTTCTAATACGAAGGCAAGAAAAATACACTGAACTTATAACAACACCAATGAAATTATTTTTTTAGTTTTATGTTTGAATTATTAGTCGTTTATGTCCTTTTTGTGTTCTATTAGTATTGTTATCATCTAAACATTATACATATTTTGTCTAGAACTATTCATGTCATTAAAACAATTATGTTTCATTTATATGTCATCATAAGTCTTTTTTTTTTTTTTAATAAACACTAAAAAAAAAACTAGCTTTTTTTATAAATTCATTTGTTTTCTTTTCAGCTTCGATGCAGAGCAGCTAAGGTATTGGTTTATTATTATTTAACTGTATTTACAAAATAAAAATAATCAATTGAAGTCACAGATGCGGCAATAATATATGACAAAAAAATTGCTCTCGGTTTCTTTTTCTTTAATTTACTTAGTGCATTAAAAATAATAAGCGAGATTAAGATTGCTTTTAGTTTGTACTTTGGAAACACATAAATATGATTTAATATACTTAAATATTACTTCAAAAATTAAATTCACAGTTTATTCCGTTATTATTTGGTTTTGCACCAATCGAATAAAGTTTATTTTTTTTCCCTGATAGTTTAAGTATAGAAATTGTGACCAACAATTAAAAGTATATAATGTAACAAATTGTTTTTCTGTCGCTGCTAAACTCATGAATATATGTTAGCAACAGAAAATCATTAGCTCAGTTTAACGGGGGAAAATAAATCCTTTATTATTGAACAATAGTAAACCTTTTTAAAAAAATTAAACTGTTTTGAATGATAAAAATCTTGCACAAAATAAATTGAGAATTTCATACTGTTTTGAAATATTTGAAAACCGTTTTGATTAAAAAAAACATTCCTGTAGCTTTTATATGAAATCATTAAATTTTATATCTAACATTGGAGAAACATGAAAGAGTCTAACATTACCCGATCGAATACCGTTAAACGGCAATCGTATATTATTTTTCTAAGGATAACGCAAAAATATAGAAAATAAAAATAAGGTACAAGGTTGAGTATGACAGAATATTAAATAAGTGGTAAATTTATAGTGAAAAAAAAAGAAAGGCAACAAATTTAGAGAAAAAACAGTTAATTTTTCATAAAAATTAAATATAAGGTTGGTGCAACCATAATATTTTTAATCAATAGTATAATGCTTAAATAAACTAATTAACAGATGAAAAGAGGCCGGGGTGACGGATTTTACAATTATTTTTTAATACTCAAAACTTATTCCAATTGGAATGCATGAGAACGTAATTTGGATCAACTAAATATTTTAATGAGAAAATTAGAACTTCAATTTATTATTTATTTTTTACCTAATATTGTTACACATATATATTTTATTTATTGGGTTTTTTCCCAACCATAAAACATTATAAATGTATTAACAACTATATTATATTATATCAAATATTTAAATCGAAATTATAATATAAATTTAAGATAATATTCATTATTAGGTATTGTATAATATCATAGAAATTCAACATAAAACTAAGCAATAATGGGCTGTCTGAAATTGTGTGTAGGTATATCATTTGTTGTAATTTGATAACAGCTGATCATATTTTCACAACTTGTTGCGAACCAAAATGAAAGTTAAATTATTTTTAATCATTGCACACACGATAAGAGTAACGGGCTTAATGTGCCAACTTAATACTTTTGTAAAAATGGGGATTTTTCATTTGACATTTGTTACGTTCAACGTCGATGAAAGTAACCCGATTCACTACCGGCCAATAACCACTGCTATATTGTATCGACTGCCGCAACAAAGAAAGTCGATATTTGATTTTTATCCAATTTGTCGTTGACAACAACAACGAATAGGTCCTTTCTTTTCAAAATCGTTCCGGTAGTAAATTGCCGGTGTGAGAATAAGTGAAAAATTGAAATTTGGGCTCTCCCGATAAATCAAATTACGACTTTTTTCGCCGCGGTGAACCGGACAAAAAACGGAAAGCGTACCAAGGCTGCAGTCGGGACCGGACGACCGAGGCGATACGTACCGGCAGTCGCGGTCCGATCGAGACTTTGTGCGAACACAGGTACGCACAGCAGCTGTGACGGTCACAGTTTTCGGGGGGGGGACCGCGTAGGTGGACAATTATTGGGATATTGCACAAGAGGCGGCGGCTTACCTGTGAACAGATGTCGGGATTTCCGGCGAAATTCCGGGACGGGCCGTCCCTGTTCGTGACGGTGTCCATGCCCGGGGCGGGTTACAAAAGCAGCGCCGTTATTACCATTGCGAGCGCGCACACGGGTGTGAAGTCGGCCGTTTCGCGAGAGAGGAGCAGCGAGATGGAGAGAGACGGACGGTAACGCACACGCACAGAGGAGTATCGTTAACGAACGCACCAAAAGAGACGCCGACGACGCTTTCTCGGATCGAAAACGGGTAACGATATTTTACATCAATAATGAAAATAGCAAGAAAAAAAAATTGATTTACACGATATAATATTACTATTACTATTATATTGCTACACACCTTCGGCGCGTAGAAATTTACCAAACGAATAAAAATTGATAACGGGCACGCGACCGATATTATATAGGTAGGTAGGTCCTATTATTTATTATTATTATAATATTTTAACACAAGACCGACGACGACGACGACGACGACGGCGACGGCGGCGGACGAGGCGACGCGCGACGGCCGGACACGACGATGATAATATTATATATATATTAATTTTTTTATTTTCCCCTACGAGACGGCAAACTCGCGGCGGTCGACGGTACGCGTTTGGCCATAACAATAATTATTGCCAATCGACGGGATAATATTGTATTTTATTTTTATGACGTTATAGTATGATCACCGTGTGTGTGTGTGTATGTGTGTGTACACAACACAATAATAATATGACAGATACGCGACCGCGACCGTGTGTACATGTGTGTGTATGTACCGTGTTGCGTTTGTGTGCGTGTGTGTGTGATATCAGAGTCGGCCGACGGCGCACGACGGTAGGACGGTCACTGCGGTACGGAAACGGCGGCCGCCGCCGCTGCGGTGTACCGTGTGCCCCGAGGGCGGCGTTGTTTTCGGCGCACGGCCGTTGCGTTGCGCGCACCGTTGCGCGTCGGCGGGAGGCGGTGGAGGTAAAAAAAAACCAGAAGGGAAACTTTAGACAAAAAAAAAACCTCCACGGGTCTGCATTTTCACTGATAACAGGTTTTTGCCACTACATATTGTACGGTAGACGGTAGACGAGTAGACCGTAAACAATACGTTTTGGCGAAGTGGGGGAACATTTTCTAGAACTAATCTAGTGAATAATATCGGCAACCGAGCGAGACTACTTAAAACGCATCGCCAAAACACGCCTATTGTTGTGGCAAACGATAACCGTTTTGGCGATGTTCAATTAAAACGTTTGCTATAACCTTCTATCGGTAAACAGCTTTTCCAGCAGCCACAGTTTTCAAATGTTCGGTACCTACCTATGATAACATTATAATGGATAACGCAAAATCATTTTGGCGGTGAGCAAACAATCCTTATCAATCCGTAAAAACAAAATGTCGGACACATGAAGTTTCCCTTCTGGTTATTCTGCTGTGTAAAAAAAAAACGGGCTGTGTGCTCGCGGGGTCCGGTAAAAATGTACCAAAGGTCAATAATGTCCACTTGGGAAAATTGTCCGGGTACAAAAATTACCAAAATTATTTTTAATGATAAAACGAAATAAATTAAAAACATTTGTTCTTAAAAACACGCTTTTCTAAAAATTGGTGGAAAAAAAATGGAAGTAAAAGACAATTTTTTACAAGTACAATTTACCGATCGATTGTACCGCATTTTTTTAAAACGTCAATTGGGTACTTTGAAAATTAACAGCTACAAATTTAAATAATGTTTAACATATTTAACTTTTGACTGAAAACAATAGCGTGGGCACTATGCAACGAATTTACTCGAAAAATTATTAAATGTTCACAATGTATTCGAGAGTAGATGGAAGGCCCACGATTTTCTGAGTTGCAATGCAATAAAAAAAACCTATAACAACACTACCACTCACATAGTAGAAATTAAAAACTAATTAACAGTCGACCAACTATTTGTATTGTTTTGTAAATTGCAAGAATATAATATAGGCAAATTACCTAGCTGTAAGAGACTTTTTAAATTCAATAAAAACAAATTAGGTATTCTTAAATTAAATCGACGCGGTCGAAATTCGTCAAAACCGCTGCTTTTCCTTCGAGGAAAATATTGGATTTGTCCGGATAGTTACTGTAACACTTGTAGATAAGATGCAGTTGTTTCAACATCATTTATACTATTAATGTAATAAATATTATATTACATTAATCGACGACAATATCTCTGGACAGTCTCGCGAGTATACAGGCTTAATTAATAATTTAATTTTTTTTTTCATAGTGTTTTTATGTAATATGATCTCATTTTTTCACACATTTTAATGTTCCTACTAATTTTGAAACTTAAATGGTAACGCATACATTTCATTAAATTTTTACATCGAGAATAATGTACTAAACATTCTGACTGTTCGATAAACAGTTTTGGATAACAGCTATTTTTGTTAAAGTTATTAAAAGTTAAAACTGGAAAGGAAGTGCGCACAGATAAAAACAATATTACATTCTACATTTCCTCCTGTCCTAATTTTGAAACTTAATAACTCAATAAAAATAGTTATTCAAAATAGTTTGAGTACTTTGTGTTTGCTTCTCTTGGATAGAAAGTGATGAGTGCCCCTAGTGGATTTTCAACTAACCCACCGGAATCATTATTTGTTTACAACCTTTGGCGTTTATCCGTCGGCCAAATACCTATGTAAAAAAAATATATATATATACATATTGTACTGTACCATAAACCTGTATGAATATCATTCTGGTCGCCTGTATAAGATCCTACACACATTGCCCGTACGCAGGTACCTTGGCTTCGGCGGAAGCGAAAGGGGAACAGAGTGGGAGCTGACAGGGAAAGTCCAAAGGTGGTATCCATAAATTAAATATGCATACCTACGTGCATCAATAACTTGTACATACTTAAAAAAAAAAAAAATACTAACGATTAAAAATAAATAAACCCATTATCTTCTCAGTTAAGTAAAGCTGTCTGTTTTTTTTTAACCAAAAATCCTGTCAAAATGTCGATTACTTAGAGTGGTCCAAATTGAATTCTGTAAAGAGATACCAGTTCTTTGCCTACTTTACTAGATCAGGTAAAAATCAGATTTTCGATTTTTGTGCATTTGTTGTGTTGAAAAATGTTCGAATTTAATTTATTTAATTACAAGAAGTATATACAATTCACCAAAACCAAAAAGAATAGTTGGTATCTACCATTCAGTGATTCCTGTGAATACCAAACTAGTTATTCGTATTGTAAAACAATTAATAATAATAACATTTATCCAGAACAATTTTTACACACTGGTTTAGTTGAAGATTTTTAACGAACAAATTCGGGAGATTTGCCAACGTTTGTGGAATAAAAATATAGTACATCATAAAAGGTAGGTTCATTGATTCTCTCTCATAGTTTGCCCTATCAGTTTGCAAGCAGTACAGCTATATTAGCTATACCTATTATTCTATTGTATATATGTATTAACTAATTCGATGGTGTCTAAATTATAGTTATTATATTATTACACAACGTGGGACGCTTCGGCCGAGACTAAATGCAAATGACCTTGTTCCTCTGAGTGGTTACCTACAATATAATAGGAAATACAGGATGATCCATTTACCCGGCAGACACTGATTTTCCTTGGGAAACAATTACAATTTTAGAGACAATATTTTATGTTATTCCACAGTGTTAAAAAAAATATGCATTTTTTGCATAGTTCAAGAATCTCGAAAGTCGCAGGTCTTTATATAAGTTTTATTATAACTGAAAATGATAATCACATTAAAATTAACGCTTCGATGCAAAACTGAAGATGGACCATCTTAGATGGTAAAAAACTATTAAGTAAAATAAATATAATTTTATCGACAAGAAAGGTGTTATTTCACCCGGTTAGTGCTATTTGATTTTTATGGTAGTTTTAGTCGATAAAAAGAATTACTAAGCTGTAAACAATATACTCGAAATAGACTATAAAGAATCATTAATTGGAAAATTTATAATTATTAGTCAGAAATTGTATAATATTATTTTTAGGAAATCTTGAACAGATATTGCACTGGCTAAAAGTTGATTTTGCATATTTTTCGAATAAAAGCACGTTTTATTTTTATTCGCTATGAGTATAGTTTTAATTTTTTATCATAATCAAATTATTTGTATTGCTTTAAAATATAATCTGTATATAGTTCAAATGAAAATTGTGTTTAAGATAAGACAGCTGATTTAACCAATAAAATAATGTTCTTAATTTTATTCATGTTGATGACCGAATCGTATATAGTAGGAAATTCTTATTAATTATAAAATTGATGTTTCATTTATAAAACACTCATTTTCTGTTTAAATATTTGTACTGCACTTATTATAAATTTAATTATAGTAAAATATTCAACAAAAATATGTAAATTTGTTTGTTTTTTTTTCAACAATACCTTCTTAGCTCCCCATCGAAGGTAAAATATTTCTACTTTTTATGTATTGCAAAATTGACCGTTGCTAGTCAGATAAGTATTATAGTTGAACTCTGTTGTGCTCTTCTTTCTTGTGGGCATTCGAAGCCATTATATAGCCGCCATTACCTGGAAATACTTATATTGTTAGGTAGCAGTATTTTTTTTTTTTATTACATTCCTTCTGTATTGTCGTAGTGTAATATGTACTCGAGTACCTAACCGTATAGATTCATAAATTAAAAAAGGGAAAATATTACTGCACAGACAATAATACTGTACCGGATGTAACAATAACAGTATGACAATATTGTTATGCAGGGGGACGATGTAGGGGCAAAGGTGACATTTTTCACTAAGTTCTGTTTGTAAGAAATTTTGTCTAGTTCATTCGATTTTCAATACTACCATTAGATAAAGGAACACAAGATCTATTAAATTAAGACAGAATAATTGCTTAAAAAATATAACTATAATAATGTTTAAGAAAACAAAGAAATACAAATTAATACGTTTAATACAAATAGCGATATAATCCGTCTTAATAGATAATGTTACAATCGACCACAATGTGTTTGTTACAGTTGTGTCTATATAAAGTTACTTTTTTTAATGCAATACAATTTTACTTAATAAAAAAACAGTTTTTGAGAAAATTTGAACATTTTTTATAAACAACAAACATGTGATAAGCTTCTGACTTCAATTATCTCTATTGGCATGTAGGGGAAGATAGGGGAATATCAGCCAGTGGGTAATTCCAGTCAATGGCATATCTCTTTAAATATGATAGCAAAAGTTTAGATAAGCACAAAACTTGGTCACTGTTGTTACCAAAACTAAATACCAGATGCTTCAAAACGGTAAACAGCTTTTTCCCCCCAAAAAAAAATTACCTATCGATTTTTTATCACAGTTGATGTAAAACTTTTCCAAATTTAAAATCAGCTCGAGGTAAGAATTTTAATTTTTTTTTCTAACAAGAATGTTTCAATTATATCGAAAACATACAATGATTTAAGTTATATGCTCATAATCTAGGTACTTAAATATTATAGCTTTTAAGTAAATACATGTATTAAAAGTCTGACTGATAGGGGTATACCGACCAAAATTATGAGGTAATGGCATTTGCAATTTTTAAAAAAAATATATTTTTAACTTTTTTTTAAAAATTTGAAACTTACATATATACATAATACCTAACAAGTTTATTGTTCGATTTCAAGAAATAACGAAATTCTTGCTTAAGTGGCCACATTTCCCCCATTGAATATTTAGCCTGTTACAATAATAATTGACCCATGTTAATCATGCTGCCAGTCCCCCCTAAATACTTTGATAAGTGTTATTTTTGAGTTTATCGATCAATCAGAATGTCTATGACATTTTTATGATAATATCACAACTATTGCTACTGTCGTGATTGACTACTTCTGGAGGTCATGGTATGCATAATATCAAATCCTACACAAAAAGTGTCAGATAAAAAAGGAGCTCGCATAAAGTTTGATTTCGAAGAGATTTTTCAAATAAATAGAAAATGCTTTAATGTATAGGTATATATATTTTTTTCCAATGATAAAACAGAAATTTTACAAATTGCGCAGTCATTTCGATTAGTATTATTACGAAAATCTGACACAGGAAGTTTTTAATTTTTCTCGTTAAATTATTAAACAAACTACATACTTTAAAAACTCAAAAATTCTTCTCACTTAATACCAGACGAATTTATAAACGAAATCGTACCGTCCACCAATAATTATGAAAAGCCTATTATTATCCTAATTTTGTACTAATTAACTGCTAATTACTCGAACGATGGTAGGTACATATATTTTTTATTTTCTACTAAAAACATACCGCATTATAAATTAGGTATCAAATTAAAAATAAATTAGTCGAATCATTCTTGAAGAAAAAAAAAAAATAAATGAAAGGATATCTATTCTTGTTTGTTGGTCGCACTAATGAGCCTAGCCGGCCGCGCCGCTTAAAGCACACGGGTCCTTATTCAAAAATAGGACTCTCTAAAATAAAATCATTTTTTCCCTAAAGGTCTTCAAATGTGATTCATCATTCACACGTTATTAAATAAGTGTCATATAAAACGACGCATAACATCAAAATACATAGTTATTACTTTGGAAATGAATTTCATTCTCACCGCCTAAGATACGTTCTTGGATGAAGTTCATAGTGCACATAATGAATGTCGACCGATGTAAAAAAGTACCGTGTTCGAAGGAAACATTACCGTGAACAACTTGGTTTGGATTTATAAGGATAAAAATTAAAACGAAAAATTGGTGTTTAGACTCGACAAGTTACATGGTGGACATTTTTTTCTTTTAGCTTCGATGCGGAGCTGAGAACAGTAGCTGTGGTGCTACTGATAGCTTAAAGGCTGCTGTCAAGTATTCAGCTATTATAGAACTATTCATTGATATATACTACAAGATGAAGATGTTGATTTATTTGGACTTCAATTAAAGACATATTGTACCAAAGTCAACTGAAATGATTATAAGCTTCGAGAAGATCTTAATAGCTTTTATAATTGGTGTATAATTGAATGGCCTCAAAGTGCTCTCGAATTTCGTTCTCTCGTAGTAAATCTTCTGACTCCTTTTCTTATGAAATAGATGGTTTTAATTTAGCTAAACTTAATCATGTGAAAGACTAAGGTATTATTTTATCTAGTGAACTATCGTCCCATATCACTCAAGTGTGTAACAAAGCCCTTCGGGTCTTCGGTTTTTTAAAGCGCAATTGTTGGGAGTTAAACAATCCAGTCCGTTTCAAAGTCTTTAACCAATTAAAAAAAATGTATCAAATAATTTGTCCTAAAATTTTGTATTTCTTTTTAAATTATTTTATCATCGTTAGGTAATTATTATTAGTATTATTATTATTGTGAACTATTATCTTCATTATTATGTGTAGTCTGTAGCCCTTGCGGTCGTAAATTCTTTAAATAAATATACATTAAGGTAGTTAAGAAATAAAATATTTAAAAACATTTCGCCTGTAAAAAAGAACTTATTATTCTTGTTTATTTTTAATAATTGTTTTTTTTTTTTCGGTGTAAGGTTTCATTTTAAATATTTTATTTCTTAATTTTTCGACCTATAAAAAATCGTATGCTGCAATGTAGGTATCCATTACGATTGATTTCCAATTATTGCGTGACAGAATACACATCGGTTACCGTTTGATACGTTTATAATAATTTTGTTTCCTTTATTATACTTATTACACGTTTTTACTAAATTTTAAACTCTCTTCGCGAAAGTCGGCATCATTTTTGCTTGTTCTCGCCGGTATTCTCAATAGGGATTTCACTCCGTCCAAGCATTCTTCTGCTGCACTCGCTGAGCGTTTGAATTCCAGCGACGCCTGTTGATACGATATGGTTTTTTCTAATTGACGCTTGTAATTGTCGATTATATCTTTTGAACCTTTCATAGCTGGAAAATCATCGGACGACGAATCGTTAAAACACGTTCTTCCCTCGCTTACCTCGCAGCAACTAATACTCTTACGTGGACCCAGGGGAATATGCTGGAAAATTAAAATAATTAATTCAGTTTATATTATATAGGTAGTTAAATAATACATTTCTAAGAAAATCCTAGCTTCTAGAAGGTTTTTTTTCAGTTGTTTTCACATAGTTCTTACCTTGTAAGTCTTTTTAGGTGGGCTAATTATTTCTTGACCAGCGCTTTGTCGACCACAGTGAGTGGTCTGTTGTACACATTCGTTTGCTGGTGGTTTTGAACATTCGCTGTACTGTTTCAACTTGATGGTCTCCTTCGTTTGTATTGTCTGCAATAAATATATTGGGCGGGATATTTTTACTATTCATCAGAATATCATAGGAAACTTGTAAAAAAATAAGTTCGAAATTTTAAGCTAAAGCTAGAAATGTAGAAGCATGATGATGTTTTTTACATGAATATGTTTTATGGTAGGGGTCTGTTCAAAATTTGCGTGATACTTTCCAGTAAGATCAAAATCTGTTCCAGAAGCCTTTTTGCCAGATTACAACCAGGTTATACATTTTGGTTAGGTTTTGATGAGAAAAAATATAATATAAGATAGCTTGAAAGAAAAAAGTCACATACTTATATCTCCCGCTTCTGTCACTGTGTGTTTCGCTTTGTTCAGTTCACTAACGAACGACGAGTCAAGCTGTACTTTAAAATCGCCGGGATAGAGTTTATCGTGTGCAGTCATTACATCATCGTCCAACTCGGACTGTGTCTTGATTTGAGCCTCGATATTTCGGTCTGAACACATTTCTGCGCCAAGTATTATTTCGCCTGTCAAGAAGCTAGAATTGGCCCAAGTGAAATTTTCCGTGACATTCCTGTTTTGTTGTTCAACGTCCATTACTCGACAAGGCGATAATTCCGGTTTTACGGTTTCGGATCTGTCGAGTTCATTTGTTTAGTCTTACAAGTTTTCATTAGTAAAAGTAATTTCCATATTGAATATTATATTTTGTATTAATTCTTATTCTTAGCCTTAGAGTATCCAAGGCTTAGACCATACAAATGGAATAGGTCAGTCAAATTCTCACTTCATTCACTCCACACGCAGACTAAACTTATTATTTAATGTTACTCTTCGCCACGAGTTAAGATAGTATTAACTGTACTCATCACAAGTAAAATTATGGAAGCAGATTGTCAAAACATAATTTTTATACGAGCCTACGATTATTTTTTTATGACTGTGGTTAAACTGAAAATTGCAACCAACTTGGAATGCAGGCGATATGGAGAACAGCTCCACTATATCACTATATGGAATGGAATGGAATGGTGATAGGAGGAAATAGATAATTCCTGGATTACTGATTACCTAACCTCCGATGCTGCCTGGGAGGAAGTAGTGGGTAAACAGTTCCCTCCCAGGTTAGCGATTACTCGGGGAAAAAAAATCCCCCGACTGATTATTGATAAGAGACAAATCCGTTTATCATAAGACGTATTTATGATGAAATGTCTCTCCGTTAAGTAAAAAATGGAATCTACCTTCTTTAAAAAATGGTGTGACATACCGTACATTATTAACTTATACTTAAACGCCCATTCAATCTGAAACGTTTTCCCTACTATTCAACTTCATCTTACGCCTTATTCTGTCTAACCTAGTCACTCGACATTCTCAATTCAGTCATATTTCTTTCATCGTTCTTTATTTTAGTGGCTGACACTCACCTCCATACCCCACTATCGTTTTATACATTCCTACCTCTCATTCTGAATGACACCTTTCTTTGACACATCCTACCGTTTGCCTCTTATCGGCGCATCCGACCACACCTTATTCTACTCACCACGTCTCTTTCAATTTCATTATTTTCTCAAATAACCGATTCTAAATACTTAAATTTCCCACTCACAGCTGATCATCGTTAGTAGTAGCTTCTGGCATGGGTTCCGCGGGCATGGCGATTACAGCTTCTAATTGAATTCCCGCTGCTGTTCTCTCCCAATCCAACGACCTCGCATGCATGTGTTCCTTAGGAATGGACAACTGAGGCGGTATCGACCACTCGTGAATGCTCTCATTCGATGTCGCAAAGTAACATTGAGTTCCCACATTGGGTATGACTTGCGATGCGGCATACGTGCACGTATCATGTGACACGGCTGTTTCGATTGTAGGGTTGGCGCTGTCTTTATAGTCGTTGGAACACGTGGCCGTACCTTCTTTTTTCATGAATTTCCTCGCCATTTCAAAAACCTAATGGTTTTTTTTTTAAAAACTTATGTTCGTAAAACGCTCACGGACTTTCATTAACGCATAAAATGTATTGAGTGAGTATTGTCACCTCGTCTTCCAACGGATCGATTGTCTCGGGCGGTAGATCCTTGAAAGGGCACATCGGTTCTGGATGTTGCAAAGCCAACACTAATAGTTTTATGTAACTATTGCGAATATCTTTATTCCCAACTTTTTCTAACGCCGAAAGCCAACTAGACGATATTTTTAGAACTGAAATCGAATTTCATTTATATGAAACACACATGAAATAAACTGTGTACATTTTAAATGACTTGACGAGGATATCAAACATAGGATTAAGAGTGTGGCTGGATAAAGTGGAGAGAATTCTAACGAGACTTAAAGGTAAGTTCTAAAAGAGTGTGGTGAGACAGACTATATTGCGTGGTTCGTAGTGTTAGGTGGTATACAAGAAAATAGAACAGAGAATGAGTGTAGTGAAAATGATAATGCTTAGGTGGATAAGTGGAGTGATGAGAGAAGATAGGTTAAGAAACGAAAAATAAGAGGTACTATAGCGAAATTTTTTTTAAAAAATAGACTGAGATGGATTGAGCATGCCATGAGGAGAGAGGAATCGGAACCAATAAGAATGGAATAAACTTGAAGGAAACAGGAGAAAGGGACGACCGGAAAAGAGGAGGTTGGATGCGATTGAGTATGATATGAGTAATACTGGTTGATGCGAAATAGTTAAAACGAAGTTGAAAGAGAAGAAGGATGTGAATTATGCGGTTCTGAGATACGCACAAATTACATTTGCCGATAACTCTGACGATATTGTCATTCCCTGAATTCAACAAAATAAATAACAAATCCCAATAGAACTTTTGGAGAATTTGAGATTCAACAAAATTTAGATTTAAGGTCATTGTTAATACAGTGAAGCATGTTCCATGAAAATGTCAATTCAGTTTTATTAAGTTCAGGCCAAAAATTCAAAAAAGGAATAAGTATTTGTGGATTTTACCAAATCTGATGTGCACAGGAGTCTTTTAATTGAAAATAAAAATAGATAAACCATTGTGAAAACAAATCAAAGCGAAAACTTGATCCAAAACGCTTCACCTTCGAAACTAGGCTCGTTCAAAGCCATTTTCTTGGCCAAGTCGTAATAAAAGTAAAACAAAGTATCCGCTTCGTCTTTTGAGTTACGGTCGGTCATTTTGTTCGATTCGATGAAATATGAACAGACGTAGATTTAAAAATATCTCACTAATTGAATAGTATTTTTTTTACAAATGACTCGTACTACACGAATTCTACAAACAAATACATTAATCAACAAGCCATAATACTTATTATAGATGTATTGTATTTGTGACAACGTACCATATGTTGAAACACAGCTGGATATATCGACAAGATGTTTATTAAGGCCAGTACATTCAATTTCCATTCCGATTAAATATAACTTATACATTTTACTAACTTGTATGCTACATAAATAACCGTCAAAAGTAAGTATCTGAAAAAAGTAATATTATAACAATAAAAAAAGTTGTCAAGTTTAAATAAAAACATTAGATAATTTCCATATACAATCAATTATTATAACAAAGTATTTCATATATCTGAAAAATGCATTACTTAATGTTTATAAAACAAAAAATATTAATCTCCGAATCAGTTATTTTTTAATTTGTTATTTTTTAAAATTTAGTTTCCTTAATTAAATAAATTAAATTAAAACAATTGTTTATATTAAAAAACAATTTGTTTACACGAAGAATGCAAAAAATCAAAAATGTATTTCTGACATAGTAAAGCTGTTAATATAAAAACTCTCTTTACAGAATTGAAATCGGACCAACCTAAGTAATCGTAATTTTTCAGGCTTTTCAGTTTAAAAAGTAATAAAAAAACAGACAGCTTTCAATCCACTTAACAATGGTTTTATACTGTGTGTGTATCAGGTACTTACTGGGATTTAAATACTTAGCTGAGAAGATAATGGTTTTTTTTTAAATCGTTAGTATTTTTCCTTCATTCCTTTAATCCCCTGTATATAGGTTCAGTTTTTTTTAATATAATATTTTTTTTTTATATTAACTAGAATATTCTTAGCTGAGAAAATATGTATATTAAATTTTGTTTTGCAATTGTTTTATTAACCTAGAATAACAAAAAAAAAACTTATTTTGACATAAAACTCTTCAGTGCTCATCATGATGTTTATTAAATAATTGTATTTTGTTAGAAACAATCTATTTCATTGAGTTGGCATCCTATAGTTATTGAAGAAATTGCTACCTATCTACCAGATGTCATAAACATCATTTTTTTTAAGATATATACTTCCTTACTTATTTTCTCCAAAATCCTGATAGTTGAAACTACATAAAAAAATTGGCCATTAGGGGTAATTATAATTTAAATCGAACTATAACCAATTGCTGATTGATTTTTAAAACCATATTTAACCAGTTGGTCACAATCTACAATTAATATATTTTTTTGTCACAAAAAATTAATTTCTTAAAAGTTGTGTTCTTTATTAAATTTACAGGTTACTAACGATAATTTTGGGAAACGATCAACTATAATCGTATCCACTGCAAAACTAGAAAAACACAATTTTTACCATATTTTCACCACATTGTCCAATTTTTTTAATTGTTTAAGACTATCAAAATGAAATTCTTTGTCTCATTGTCGCAGAAAAATGCGTTTGTATTATCTTTGGAATGAATTCTGTGAAATTCAGTGTTCATTTCTATGAATAATATTCCACGAAATATCGATTTTTAATAAAAACGGACATGCCTGGTTGTTTGTTCCAAGTCTTGTAATTTTTAAAAATTATAAGAAGGAAATTATCTTATTACATTTCTAAAATTACACACTGTTTAGGCAACAATATGATTGTCGCGGGCAAATGTAACGTTGAAAGAATAACAATATAAGTATAATCGTGTATCCAAATAACATACGGAAACCTCTTTTTATTTTATTTTATGGAATATAATACAATATTAACATCAATAATAATATATTATACAACGTTTCCGTGCGGTTTTTTTTTACACATAACCGTTTATAGAACGTTTCGATTTCAATAACGAAAACAACACCGCCTTCATGCAAATCCCACGTCGTTTACCTACTGATTTAAATTAATTCAAGTACATTGTACAGGGTGACCCATTTCACACTGTTTTCATCTTCGAAATATTTATAATTTTGTAGTTTTTCACTTTGAACATACTTTTATAAACGTTATTTTATAATAATAATATACAGTTAGGTACCTATCGAAAACATTTTATCTTTTTTTAGTATTAACCAGAGCGCTATCTACTATTGAAACTAAAACAATAACGTTTTTGAATTTAATTGACTTTTTGAAACGGATTTACCTAGTTGATAGTACAGTCCTCGAGCCGAGACTAACAACCTCTTCCTTTTGGTATCACTATACTATTTTTGTAATTTTTGTACAAACTTACACAAAGACCTGCAAAAATACCTACACATAACCAGTTATCTCACCAGACCAATTTCCATTTTATTTTTATCTCTCATTTCAGTCCCCTAATAGAGTAACTATCCTCGACCTCACTTCCTGAAAAAGCTCTCAGAAGAGTGAAAAAAGAAAATGGCCTTGAGACCTTTTACAATAATTCTTATATAGATAAGACACTGATTTTTTTCTCTTGAGATAATTGCAATTTTGTAATTCTCCTTGGTGGAGACACTTTTGTTTATGTTGTTTTACAATGTTAGACAATATTAAAATTTTTATCTTTTTACTTTTCCCCAAAGGTCAAGTATCAACTATAAAAACTTAAATGGTAACAAATATATTTAATTAACTTTTTAAAATTAAGACTGATTTGTTGAAAATGTTGACTGGTCGATAACTAGTTTTGATGTTTATTTTGTTGTCTAAAACTCCTGTCGAGTTTGATACCAAGGTACCTAGGACATTCTTCCGTCAATAAGACAATCATTGTCATCATGATTGTGGATCCAAAGTTTTGCTGACCTTCTACGATACCAGGGAATAAAAATATATTTTTTACGTTGTAAGATGATATTTCTACTACATCTGATTTAGAGTACCTACTCGCTTAGCATAGTTTAAATTTATAATAAATAATAAAAAAAATAAAAAAATACAATATATTGGCATAGCTGTATCTTAGACGAAAACGATGTTCAATTGCGTCTAAAGTTCAATGAGAAAGTATTTGGTTCACCTTGTTTTAGAAGTTAAATTTGTGAATTTTACACAAATTTTAACAAATAAATATAGAATTTATTTAAATATTTTATCTACTTTCGAATGAGCTTTTGTATCATTGACTAAATTGTTAGACCAAATATAGCAACCAGGTAAAGCCACTTCACTTTTATTTAAAAAGAAGGCAAACAAGGTATAAAAGAATACACTTTAATTTCAAAATTCATAAGCAAATACAAAATTAAAACAATTATAATTCTGCTATTTCTTTAGTTCATAACATCACTTTACTCGTGCTTTCATGAGCAATACTGCTCTTTTATTTGTATTTCTTAACAATTGGCTCGTTTCTAAATGAAACATAAAACATCATTATCAATTAATGTACTCACTTAGGAGTTACGTGGGTGATAGGAAGGAGATAACTCAGAAGAAAAAAGGTTCAGATTTCCTCCCAAAAAAGTCAGACAATCAAAGTAGTTATATCTACATTGGTCTGACACTTGGCCCTTTTTCACTGTTTTTGTTGGATATTTATCAAATTGTTAATTATTTTTAATTAGCGGATATCTACGGGTTTTACTGCGAATTCGCATACAGCCTCTTGTACATCAATACTATAAACTATTTGCATCTTCCTTATTATTTCGGGATAATCTTTAAGAACATTTTAGCGGATAGAACCTGAAGAAACGACATTTATTAAACCGTAGACAAACGGCCCGAATTTTTTGCAATAGCACAATTGATGATTTTTCCCTTCGGTTATTTCCATCGTCGCCATTTGTTTTAACGTGTAATCGTTAAAACAAATAAAAAATGAATAATACTACCGTGTCGTAAACGTCGGTGAAAAAAAAACCGTACCTGTATAATAATACAGGTAAAATGTATTGTAAAGAGTGGGAGACCCGATGGAGAATCCGGTATCGTGCACTCGACCCGTTTATACCATATAGAGGGAGCGAGTGGGACACACGAATATTAAAGATAATCGGTGGTTAGATATGTATTGTTTTTTTTTTTTTTTTTTGTAGGTATGACGTTTACGGCGAAACACGCAGTGTAATGCAATGGAAAGACGATGATAATAGTAGTAACAATAAAAAATAATAACGCATAAAAAAAAACACTAAAAGTCAACTAAAAAGCAAAAAAAAAAATATTTTATACGACAATTTAATTCTCATTTGTCGTTCCCTTCAATATAATTGAGAAATTATTGTTTATTATATAATGTAATTATTAATTGTTTGAAGTCGGTGCCAAGTAAAACACAGCAAAATGATATACCTTGCTGTGTGCGGTCATCTGTGTTGTACTAAACATAATAATTTTTATGTTTTACTCGGCATCGACTTAAAAATTATAAAACAATAATATTTTTGCTTTTTAGTTAACTTGTGTGTTACTTTAGAGGTTTTTTAAGTTTATATTATGTAGTAATATACCGGTCGATTCACTTTTAGGTCATCGCATGCGGTCTGATTTTAAGGAGTTTTGTATAGGCAATATATATAAAATTAAGAAGTTTTAATACATTTCGATTATGTTAATTAATTTACTGGTTGCATTTGCATAAGCTTCAGTGTACCACTTTTAGTTTGTTCTAAAATTTGTTTTATTATTTGTTCTAGCCATTTTGGTTAATTTTAGACCAAAAAGCCAGGCAAAATGTCCACTACACGGGACGGTCCAAATTCAATTCTGTAATAATATTCGAATTCTTTGACTACCTACTTTACTATGTCATGTAGGAAGCCGATTTTCATTTGAAAATCTCAGTTTCTTGTAATTAATTAAATAAATTAAGTTTACAATTTGTTCAACATTAAAACCCAATTCTTTTTTTATAAAAAATAATAGTAATCTGTAAACCTGCATTACCTAGCAAAGTTGCCAAAGAACTCGGATGTCTTTGCAGAATTAAAATCTTAAGTAGTCGACATTTTGTCTGGCTTTTTCATCTAAAATTTCTA